CATAACTTTTATTCCTGCAGTTCATGTTCACAACTTAATCTCCAAATAGGAGAGCACTTGACTGGTGGAAAAATTGTATCATTTGTTTTCTTAAACTAATTTACGTTTTTGTCAGGATCAGGCCCGATATATTTGGTTCGTTGGGCCAAACAACACCTTTCTGTCAACTCAAGCAGGCCAACCTGACAGGCTAAAAGAAAATTTGTGAAAGTTTTGACCAGACCTGGCCCAACAAAACTGGTTCGACCTCTCATTTTACACTAAGCTAATCTACCCTGCTTGTTCAATAGTCTACTAAATTACCGACAGCAAATTTACTAAAACACCAAAATGGATATTCCTTCAGGTAAAACAGGCAGCAGCTATGTACATGGACATTCTAATTCTGCAGAAAACTATCTATATAATAGTTATCAGTTCTTTATCCCTATTAACATCTTACCTTCACTGCTTTATCTCAAACAACCTCCCCAAGTGGGCGTTTTCTGCACACAAGACATCCATTCTTTCTTTAATCTGGAGAATTGAACTCCGGCGGAGGAACTCCACGAGAGGGAGACCATGTCACTGACATCTTGGCTGCATAAAAATGCCTTCAATGTAATGTGAACATCTTTTCTTCTGCCACTTCCAGATATCTAGCATGGCTCATCTTTCAGACAATCTGCAATTCATATATCACAAAACGTAACAAGATGTCTAGGTTTATTGACATGCTAAAACAAGTAAAATAAATCCAAGGACAACTAGCTTTCAGCGATTTGTAACCTGGATAGTTCTTGTTGAAAATCTGGTTTTCTCATCCCCATGTCAATCCCTTCAGCTGATTCCACAAGATCATAAAGCTCCTTGGCATGGTTTGTCATTCCGCCAATCCTATAAGCTTTAATCATTGTTCTATATGTAACCTTATCAGGTTTACATCCTTTCTGCTTCATCAGTTCAAGCACCCCCTTCATCTCGCTGAAGTGCCCCATCCTCCCATAAGCATCCACCAGACAGTTGAAAAACACTCCATCCAATGTTATATCTGAATTCTCAATATATCTCAAGACACCAGCAATTTTTTCAGCTTTCCCAGCTTGTCCATATGCCCGAACAAGAGAACAAAGTGTGACACAGCTTGGCTTGATTCTCTCTGACCGCATTAGCCTAAACAAATATTCCATCTGTTTTAAATCCCCAGCCCTCCCAAATGCATCTATAACCACGTTGTAGGTAACAATGGTCCATGAATAATGGTATTTCTGCATGTATTCCATTACAGCACTCATTTTCTCATAATTTCCTGTTTTCCCATATGATCCAGAGTATGTTGAACGTCTTAATGTTGGGTCATCCCTGCACTCTGAAACTTTCG